CGATAAGACGACTCTAGAAGATTTTGATTTCGTGGTATATGATTTATGTTTAATGTCACACAAACTTTAAGACTTGCCGACAGGTGAAAACCAACAAATTGGTAAAAGAAGCGAGATAGGCAGAGAAGACGTGACTGCAGGTGAACATGGAGGAGACGGAGGTGATGAAGATAACCAACTTACCAACAAGAACAACAACCAGCACCAGCCACCATCAAAGGGAGAAATTTAAAGGAGGTTACATCCTTTACTTATATTGGCGGCATCGTTTGAACCACAGTTGGAACGGATGGTGATGTCAAAGCAGCTCAGAATGGGAAAGGCAAGACACGCCTCCATCAACATGAAGCCAGTTTGGAAATCTGCTTCACTCAGTCAGCATAAAGAACAAGATTTGGATTTCCAGCACAAATGTGATGTCAGTTAGTTCTTCTTTACGGGTCAGAAACTTGACCAATGTGTCACGAAAAGGATTTCCAGCAGGCTATTGCAGAATTTTGTCAACATCTGTTCCTTCGCTGGTTGCATACTGAAGATCAAACGGTCGGCCAGTGAAAATCAGCAACCAGAAATTTTTGGAACAAACTAACCAAGGGCCGACTGCTCAAAAGATGTGTAGGAGACAGTGCAGATGAATCAGGCATGAGTTGTGAAGACCTTGGAATGACATCGCGCGCAATGCAAGCCATTGCTCGAGTGGAATCGAAATATAAAGTGACAAGTGGGTCGTCCTAGGTTAATATGGGGGAGATGACAGATTATGGGCAATCGTGGATCTAGCTGAAAAAGGCGGCAGAAATTAGAAGAAAGTGGAGATCTGTTGTTGTCGAGGCTCTATGCTCCAATGGGAACGCAGGTGAATAATAATATATCTAAAACAAAATACACATTGGAGCAAAGAGTCTGTTTTCGACGGGGGATTCATTCACCTAGCTGCACAATCGCAATTTTATATAATTATTTTTGTATATCTGTGTAATTTAGGTTTGTCACATAAGAATAAAGATTAGTAAAGAATACTGTTTACTACAGCAAATATTTCAATAGCTTAGTGAATAATCAGATTGTAAGCAGTGTTTGTATGATAGGGTGGGGAGTAAAGATTAGTAAGAGGGTAGTAGTGGTGATGAGTTGTCATTTTTACATAGTTGTCAATGTTAGTCAGTACATATAAAAATGTATCTACAATACACTCAATCAAGTTTCAGGTAGTTACGAAGTCGGATGAATAATTTAATGAGTGAGTTGTTATCATGATCATAGAAACGTAGAAATATGTGGAAGTAGGCAATAACTGTGAAGAAATACCGAAGTCATAAGGTGTTAGAAAACCACACAAACAAAAATCAAGTCTGTATAAATCAGCAGGGTTTTTACCATGTTAGTAGGAGTGGTTGAATAATATTTTCGTTTGCAAAGCTTTTCTAACCTAATGGTTAAAGCTACAGAAGTGCAAGGGAGATGAAAGCGTATTACCTATGACAGATTGTTCTTCACTCTGAAGGAGGCGTTAATTCAGATGGAATAATGATCAGTGTTGACAAGATGTTCCAGTATCGTATTCCTTATAGAGCAACCATGTGGGATAGTGTTCTTGAAACCTTTAGGACAGGATGTCACTAGGAATACCTGCAACTAAGGACTATTTAACATCAGAAATGGACTTCTAGGAAATTGTGCTATCTTTATGATGAATGAGAAGGAAGAAAGAGTACTGTGAAGGACAAATTTCGGAGATGGGTAATAATAGGTGACATAAATATGAACAGTAAATTGTGCTTGGAACTTTGTCATCCAGTAAATAATACTGTTTCACTCTGATATATCCAGTAAAGAAGTCTAGATAGAATAACATATCACCACACTGCCCAAGTTAATTTATATTGATAGGATATTATCAACGTAACTTGTAATGGATGAATTTAGGTGAAATTAAAATTAAAGTTGTGTTGAATTTTGACCAGTTGTCTGGAGATTACTAGCCTGTTAATTTATTTTGCTTCTGACTGGAGTATAAGGCTTCAACATCACATCTCCAAATTATTCTGTCCTCTTCAGCTGACCCCACAATCGACCATAGTCTCTCGTTTCCTCCTCTTCACACAATGTCCCCAGGATCACCACTGGCACCATGCCCAACTCATCTTTTCTAATTCTGCTTCTCCTGGTAGGCTTCGGGCGCGACATCACTCAGTGGTCTCTGCAGCTTGTGTCCAACGCATCACCATTGTCTTCTGTATAATTGTCGAGCAATCACTTCTTGACTGGTTTGTTCTCAGAGTTTCTTGTTACTAATTCTTTCTGGCTGACGTTTGATCTTAAGTATGGAGCCAGAGAAGGCAGTTGTGGATAAAAATCTGAAGCAACCCATTGAATATTCCTTTCATGAAGCTCTACGTTTTCGACTCATTTGGAAGAACATTTGGACGAAACAATACGAAGACGTAATTTGTCTGAATCGTGTGTAATGTTGTATTTGAGCACAACACTTATTTCAAACAATCTGATCACACACAGACTAGTCATTGGAGTATATATGTATAAAATTAAAAAAGAGTTAAGAGGTGAGAAAATAGACAAGTTAGGTCAAGTTAAAAGGACATATTGAAGGTCAAAATAACAATGAAGATAACTAAACCAGTTAACAGAGGTAATAGTACATCAACGCTGGCCATTCTCAAAACTTTACCAAGGAATGTTTAAAGTGATGACAAATTGTTTTTGAACGCATAGAGGTGGTTTAAACTTTCTAACTGCTAGCTAGGGCTTCCACAAACTTTAGGATATACCCCAAATACGTTTTTTAGATAGTTTTAAAAGGTGTGTTAACATCAATATAATGTCCTGTCTCTATAATGTGTTTCGCGAGAGAGGAAGTAGGTCTCCTGTTCTCACCATTAATGGGTTCTGAATATTCTGTTCGCTTCTGAAGCCGTTTAGTAATATGCTCTGAAGCCAGCTCATACTTGCAGAGATCGATGAGTCCTCCCTGTGTATGTGTATCCACACGTGCATTCAAATTGGTAAATATAGTGGGATGTGATATCATTTGTTGCATGTTCTAAGGACCCAGAGAGAAATATTGGCTTCACATTCTCAACTGTTATGATGTAAGCTGCATACCAGGCCTTTTTGAAAGCAGCATTCAGTCTCTGTCTAGTTATCAAGCTGATATGATGCCTCATATAGGGTAGTTTGATGTACACGTCTTTTTTAGGGGCGAGTTGGAGAGTGGGTCTTGGTGTTCTGACTACTTTATATCTCTTGATGAACTTGTCTGGATAATTTTTATCAACCAGAGTTTGTGTCAACTTTCTTTCTTCTTCATCAAGTGTGTCTTCGGTGCATATTCGTTGGATGCTACTGAAAAGGAACCTTACTAAAGCTGTTTTGTACCGAACAGGGCAGAAACTGTGATAATAAGATAACGTCCTGTCTAGGTAGATTTTTATAAATAGATCTTTTTATTGACCTATCAAGCCGTCGACTAGGCAATATGTCTAGGAAAGATAAACAATTATCTTCCTCTTCTACAGACTTAAGCGATATGTTATTCTGAACTTTATTCATTCGATTTAAAATTGAGGTTACAGAACAGCGGTTATCACTTATGATTACAATATCATCAACATACCCTCTATGAAGTGGCACATTTTCGATTAAATCCTCCAACTAACCTTGTTGATGAAGTCCTGATTTCGGTGAATGTAATGGATTTCTGAACTGATTTAAGAGTGATGAAGGTTTGTCCTGTCTTTGCGATTTTGGCTGACTTTGACATCCTCATCCATGTCAGCTGCCTTTAGTTGAAACGATTCTGCCTACATAAGTGAAGGAAGTAATCTCTTTCAAATATCAACTTTCGAAAATGATTAGAGCTCCTTGTTTTTGTTTTTGTTGTTGCTGTTGATTGTTGAATATCTTCAACACCTCCGTCTTCTTTATGTTCACTTGAAACCCAGTCTTCGCTACTTCTTTAGTTAGTTTGTTAGCCTGGATACCAAAACACTAGTCGAAAATGTTCAGTTATTTAGAAACTTGGTCTAATGTGCGTCGGTGACACAGCGGTCAGGACTCTCACCGACTATGCACATGGTCCCGGGTTTGGTCCCCTGCCGATGCACACCTGATATCAATGGTCGGCCTGCAAAATTTTCGGGCTACTCATATCACATGCTAAAAATTCCATACCTGTACCAAAAATAGGGTGTGGAATCAAGCTATGATGAAAAAGTATGCTTCATTTGATGACGTTGTTGAAGTTTCATTGGGGCAAGAAAGGATTTCAGGATGTATAAGGATTCCGCAATCAACCTCTCTCTCCACTTACCTTGATTACTTTTTAAAATTTTAACCCTATCCCACGCTATTTTGTGGTTGTTTGTTAATGCGTGAAGTGCAATAGCTGAGCTTTTTTCTTAATTACTTATCTTTTCAGGGTCAACCAATCTTCCCTTAGCTAAATTCTTATGTTCTGATAATCTGACTATCCCTGACCTACTAGTTTGACCTATTTAGTTGACCTCACAGTCATTGCAGGGTATTTTGCAAATTATATTATTTTTTTAATTGGGTCCACCGGGTCTTTCAACCTGCAAAGCTTGTCTCTGGGTAAGTTTGTAGGTTTGAATGTCACCCTAATCCCTGCTTTATTTAGAATCCCACGTAGGGTCTCAGATGTCCCCTCCTTATATGGTATAACAGTGGATGACTTATATTCTCTCTTATTTATGTTATTACTACTAGTTACACAATTATTTTTATTTTGTTTTTGGCCCTTACTGATCTTCCTAATGAATTTTATAGCATAGTTATTCAACACCAACCAGCTATTCTTCTATCTATTTTATTTCAACAATTAGGTCTTCTTTTGTGCTACTTAGTGCTATGGCTCGGCTCGATGTTTACAACATCACGATTTTAGGATGTATCTCGTTGTTAACTTCCAATTTAAGTCCCTTTCACATAATTTCCATAAACTTATTTTCTTACGCTTTCAGCTTTAAAAAGATATGAATATGATCCTACTCGTGCTGCATATTTTATTGACGTTGTTGAGCAACGATTGTACAGCACAGCCTTACCCTCACAATGATGAATACATGACAGTCTTTGATGATGAGGCTGAAATTCCACTAATCGAAGATTCACACAAAATCAGACCGCCGAATGACGAGACCGTTGACCTTCATCCTAGTGGACAACCTCACAGATTCCAAAGATTAGGAAGAAGACAGAGTAAGTATGCGTTGATATTTTTGCCGCTCACTAATATTCAGGTAAACAAATCGCAAATTAGTTTCGTGTGGAACTTATGGCTTCACTGGAACATCTCTATTTCACCAAGTTGTCTGAAATGATTGTTTTGACCAGCTAGGCGGTTTCGTAGAATGATATCACCATACCACCATCAGATTACTAACTTTCTGTTCCGTCTTCGGTTCACACTCGACATCCTGTCATGTTATGTCATTCAACGGTCTGAATGAATAATTTCGGTATATTAAATTATCATGACTTGACGCCAGTTACAGAATCATTTATAAAAGAAATTGAAGTGATGGACAGCTGTTTTGTCCTTGATCCTCTGGACTCTTCATCAGTACACACCCGTCCACCGCCAGCATTAGAATCCAGGACTTTCCAGTTGCAAAACGAGCTTGTGGACAATTCATTAGCCACTGGGATCCGACCCAATGTCCAGCCCATCAATTTCAAACTCTGGCAATTCAAATTCCTGCAAACCAACACTTAAGGATTAATTTGATTCCCACTAGCGAATCGCCCCCTTCAGGTTGGTATCTGCCTGACTTCTAGTAAGAAGTCGTGACCATTGTTGAACACCATCTCGGATGAGAGGACAAATGGCCGCCAGCGGTGACATCGGGTGGTGTCAGTCGGGCTTTATCGTGCGTAAATTGGCAAAGTTTGGAATTCATGGGCTGGCCATTGGGTTGGGTCCCAGCGGCTGAAATGCCTGCGACCTCACCGAAAGGTCCTCGGTTCGAACCCTAACGGTTGGTTTGCGTGTGTTGCTAAAGTTTTCCAAAGCACTAGGACGAAATATTTGTCTTGCGCTCCCTGGTGGTTTTCCAATGGTTCTCTAACCGATATCGGCTAACTGGAATCAATTCACTCAGAAAACGCTTGGGATGAATTAATTTTTCTGTGATGCACACTGACCATAGATGGAATCTAGGACGCATATTTCGTTCTATTTGGGACTAGTCGGCTTGTTGTACACTCCATCTCAATTCAGTGATGGTATTCACGTAAATATTCAGACCAACCACCCATCGTTTCAGGCGGCAAAGCATTGTTCACTAGGCCATTTGGTCAACAACAGCCACCTATTACACTGCTAGTCACTATTCGCCAATTAAAAACATGCTGAGCTTCAGATGGAGTCGAAGTTTCGTGAAGATTTGTAAATTATCTGATTAACTGGAGCTTCTGTGTGACTGTAATGTGTCTCTTCAGTTATGCTGTTGTCTACGCGGAGTAAAGTAGTTAGTCGCGTCATTCTAGAGAGAATAAAGGGTTCACTAGATGCAGAATTCTACCTGCTGGAATATGGTAGATTTCGGAATATTAAATCATGTGATGATCGAATTTCGTTTCTATGCATCATCATCAAACAGGTCACAAAATGCCAATCAAACCTCTATTTCAGCTTCAACGACTTTGGAAAGGCACTCAACAGAGTTGACTGTTAATTAATTTGGAAACTAATTCAGCACTGTGGCGTGCCTAAAATCTTTATTAGTCTCGTTCAACAGCTATATGACGATGCCACGGGTCAAGTGATCAACAACAGACAAGTCAGTGAGGCCCTTGAAGTCAATACAGGAGTAAAACGAGGCTGTTCACCATCGTATATGATGTTCCTGATTGTGATGGACTGGATTATTCAGAAGGCTCTGCTTGTGAGCGAGAAAACATGAATACGTCAGACCAAAAAGAAAGCACTCGGGGATCTGGATGTTACAAAAACTCACAAAAATCACAGGCAAATATCAAAATGTTGTCAGAAGTGGCAGTCAGAGAAGAGAGGACTTCAGGTGAATGTAGAGAAGACGGGGGTGATAAAGATAAGCAACGAACAGCAACAACAACAACCAGCACCAATCACTATGAAAGTAGAAATTTGAAGGAAGTTAATTCCCTCACTTATGTAGGCAGCATCGTTTCAACCACAGGTGGAAAGGATGAGGATATCGAAAACAGAATCGGAAAGGCGAAATAGTCGGGCATCATTCGGAAATCAATCTCAAAATCTTCCACACTTTAAGAGTCAAGAAGAAAATTCGGATTTCAGACACCAATGTTAAGTCAGTTAGTGCTTCTATATGCTTCCGATACTTGATGAGCTCTTTACAAAAAGCATTTTCAAAAGGACACTGTGGATTTTTACCAACAGCTGTCTTCGCTCACTACTGAGGATATTGTAGCCGAATAGAAAGGATTCGCCATAAAAAAACTCTGGAAATGAACCAACATTCCGAAGAAAATGTAGACTGGTTGAATACACCGAATTGAATCGTGAGCTGGGCCAGTGGTCGACGAGAACATAAATGAGAAACGACGACCAAGACATATTTCCGTTGATAAAATCGAAGAGACCAAAAAGCGAGGTTGGCGAGAGCCTATGAGAATCGTAGAGAACCGGACATAGTCATGATGTGCTGTTAAAGCTCTAAGTCCCACTTCCATCTCGAGAGAACAACAAATTAACAACATATGAGACACTTCCGATGAAGATTCTGATCTAAATGCCTTCAGTTGCATGGCAGATACATTATGCGGTTGACGTTATCATTAACCGATATAATTTAGGGAAACACTTAACACCGAAACCACGGATAGAATTCATCATTTTAAGTGGTGAACATTTCCAGTAGTAGGTCTTAAGGCTTCGCCCTGTTCATCGATGACCAGAATAGGACCCTGTTAGCATTGACTTTTGACGAAGACTAATTGAACTTCTACTTTTACTGTTGTGGAGTAGAAATATTGGCGAATATATGACCTTATATTTGACTCGATTAACTGATCACTGCTTATGTTTTCTACTCCTCTTCTGTACTTTTATCTATCAGTCAAATATTTATTTCCAGTAAACAAATACTAATAATAATTATAATAAATACTGATAAATATTGTAACCAGTAGACATATTCTTCGATATATTCTGACTTAGTTTACCTTTATGAATTATAATGAATATAGTCATAGAGGCAAATAGTAATTATATATATATATATTTATGCATAACTGGTCTTTTAATACCCTGTGGTATAAGAAACTGTGAGCTCACAATAGCGTGTTCCTTGATTATTAGGTTTTATTGACAGTAAACATCCGTAAGAATTCATGCTTCATTGCCCTGTTCTTTAGACTTCTTTTCTCTTAATTGCAAATAGCGACAAAGGCGAAAAAAGAAAACAAGTCTGCTTTATAAAGTGCTAAAAGTATTATTGAATTTGGTTGATATTGTCTATAGGTTTATACATGTTAACTAATTGTTAAGTCAGTGACCTTAATTGACTTTCACACGAATATACACTGATTATTATTATTATTATTAAACTTGCAAGCGAAAACCAACAAACTGGCTGAAGAGGCTGGCAGCGAAAACAGGACTGCAGGCGAAAACAGAGAAGACGGAAGTTATGAAGATAACTAACGAAAAGCAGCAGCAGCAACAACAACAGCCAGCACCAGTCACCATCAACAGGAGAGATTATCTGGGAAGCATCGTTTCAACTACAAGCGGATGGCACGGACAAAGATGGCAAAGCCAGCCAGTCAGAATCGGAACGGCAAGATACGACTTCATCAACCTGTAACCATTGTGAAAATCGTCTGCACAGACCCAGCATAAAGAATAAGATTTGAAATTTCGACACCAGTGTCAAGTCAGTCCTTCCATAAGGGTCAGAAACTTGCAATGCGCGCCCATCACGAAAAGGATTTCCAACAGGTTAGAGACTTTCATCAACAACTGCCTTCTTCGCTGGCTCCATACTGAAGATCGAATGACCAGCCGGCCATTCAGGACGAATAAGCAACAGGAAACTCTGCAGTGGAACAAACCAACAAGCAAGAGCCGATAGCTCAACAAATATGTGCGAGAAAGTGGATATGAATCGGGCAAACACTTAGGAACACACGGAATGACCTCGCATGCCAGACAGTCACTCAAGTGGAATTCAAATGGGAAGCGATGAGTGGGTCGTCAGTGTCTGGATGACATGGAGGAGATCATGGAAGGAAGAGATGAGAGACTTTTGTCAATCTTTGGCCCAGTTGAAGAGGAGGGTAGAAGACAGAACAAAGTGGGGATGTGTTGTTGCAGCCGCCTATGTTCCACTTGGAACGCAGGAGAATAATAAATAAGTAAATAAATAATTTATAATTTCGCAATTTTCCCCATTAAGATGAGGAAAGGTGATATCCTAGAGGGTAGCTTATCCCAAATACACAAAATAACTATTCTTGAGTTGTGTCATCGGTTCACATAAATGTACTTCTCAAACTTTTTATGATTAGTATTCAACCGAATGTTGACTATTTCTTGAAGGAGACAAGGCAGAGATGACATCTTAATGGATTAGGTCAATTCATCTTTTATTCCAAGGTCCTGTAGGAACACTGTCTAGAATAAAGCTATTATTATGTAAAGTATGCCATATAATACTATCTTGGATCTCGCTTGTGCCGTGCATCTGAATTTGATTGATGTTTTGCCTTTTTTCTTTGAATCAGTCATTCCATTGAAGTAAATACGCGTATTAGCCCTGCCTTTCTTTGCCTTTTTTTTCTTATTTCAGTACCAATTATCATTCCTCAACGCTTTGGCAAACGGGTGTACGGTAAGAATGATATATACAACCAAATCTTAATAAATTTGTACTTATATTCAGTACCTTGACTTACGGAGTATATTTTCAAGGGTTTGGTTCGTAAAGATTAGATTTGTTTATACATAATTGAACACAGATTAACCGGCAGTGAGTACTGGACAGTAATTTCATCCAAGTTTGGAAATCATCGCCATTATGCACCTGCCACAAGTAATCGAGCCCAGGACCGTCCGATTACCAATCCACGAATTCTAACTTCTACCACTTTGCAATTTAGCGCGACCACCAGCCAATGTCATCGGTGTGAATTCCATCCTCACACTTGACCTGTTGAACCTTAGTTCTCACGACTTCTCACTAAAAACTCCAGTAAACTCTGTCCAGTCTCAAACTTGCCTTGTAACTGAAACGTCCTGGGTTCTAATCCCTGCGTATTGCCGGTGATTCCCAAACTAGGGTGAAACAGCTGTCCAGTACTCCCTGATGGTTTTCAATTGTTCTCTAACTGATACTACAGCGTGGTCAAACTTGAAACAAACCGAATCCCTAGAAAAATAAACAGAAGACCAGAAGCTGAGCGAGGAGTCTCTCTTCGGCGAATTCATTTTCATAGCTGTACATTCGCAAAATATATATGGTTTTTTTGTATGTGTGTGTACATTAAATTCGCCAAACGAAAATCCAATTAGTAAGTTCAGATGAATTGGATGTTGATATCAGAGAGTATTAACAAAATTGATGAGTTGTCACAAACGATTGTTAAAGAAGAGTTACTTAATAATATGAATGGTTTGATGAAAGAGTTGTGCTCAGGTTGTACATGGAAATAAAATAAACTACGGAAATACGCAAGAGTTTTAAGTAGTTAGAAAAATAAGCATACAAACAAAAGTTAAGTCAAATCAACAGAGTTGCTGCGATGATAGTAGAAGTGGTTGAATAATTTTCCTTTGTATGTATAGTTCTGGTTCTTCTAAATGAATGGCCAGGGCTTCTGCGATGCAAATAAGAAGGAAACGTATAGTCTTTGGCAGGTCGTTCTTCACTTTGTAGACTACTTTGAAGGAGGAGGCGTTTGTTGATATCAAATGACCAGAAAATAACTCTTGAAAGCGTAGAATTATTATTTAGATGCTATTTGTTTCTTTGTAGATAGGACTTTTAACCTTGTTAGTCCAGCGCTTTATTTTATCATAGAGGCATCGTCAGCTAAGCTGTACATTCATGTTTACTTAATAAATGGGTGAGAAAGTTTGAGAATTATTTCCGACCATAGGTCAAACGAATAAAATTCCAAAGCGTAACAGACAGAATTATCGGATAGAAAGAACTTAGTAAGACCATAATTAGTGATAAAATTCACCTTTTGTGCAATTAGGAATTTAAAATATTTATGAACAACAGAAATAAACAGGAAGATTGGATGAGAAAGGTGGTGACTGAATAATGACTATTTCGAGGATGGATTGTTTACGATGGTCATAGTAGACACAATGGTAGGTCGTGTTTTCTTTCAACACATAGCGTCAGCCTCAACCTTCAGATTCCTAGTGTCTCAACTATGCCCAGATGCCTTGATCTTATTCCCTCCTACATGTCTAATGGGATGTTGTATACGACTTGGAAGGACTTTTCAGATGGAGCTGGATGTCTCGCGTTCACCAGATGTTCTCTTACCGAACTGTATATGCACCCTCATATTGGCGGCCTCCGTTTACTAGTCATCCAGGCTGTGGATAGTGTTCCGGAGCGTGTTTTACAGGCGGACGCACAGTGCAGCAGTTGTACTCAGCCTCAGAAGGTCATTTCAACTAGTGTATGCATACTGAAGTGATTTATGACAGGAAGTACTACTGGAACGTTCTCAACCACTTACTATGTAATCCTGAATGTGCAGCTTAATTGATGACTTCGCTGAAGAGAAAGTTTCCTTCGCTACAACTGTTTTTTAATATTTATTATTATTATTGTTCCCTTGGCTTCCTAGTGGAGCATAGCGCTTCAACTACACGTTTCCACTTGCTTCTGTCTTCTGCTGTACTTTTCATCTGCGTCCATGTTCGTCCATACTGTTTCAGCTCCTCTTCACATAATCTCCTCCATGTCACCCTTGGACGCCTACTTGCCGCTTCCTTTTCGGATTCCACTTGAGAGCCTGACGCGTGATGTCACCCAGCGACCTCTTCAGCGAGTGTCCAATCCATCTCCACTTTCTCCTGCATATTTGTTGGGCGATTGGTTCTTGTTTTGTTTGTTCCCATAGTTTCTTGTTGGTTCTTGTTCTTTCCTGCCATCTGATCTTGAGTGTAGAGCGGAGACAGCTGTTGATAAAGGTCTGCAACAGGCTGTTGGAAATATTCTTGGTGACCTGACAAGTTTCTGATCCGTATAGAAGAACTGACTGACTTGACGTTTGTATTGAAAATCCGAATTTTGTTGTTGACGCAGGCTGAATGACGAAGATTTCCAGATTGGTTTCAGGTTGATGAATGTGTTTCTTGCCTTCCGGATTCTCGATTTGACATCCTCGTTCGTTTCTCCTGTAGTTGAGACAATGCTCCCTAGATAAGTGAATGAAGTAGCCTATTTCAAATCCCTCCCGTTGATGGTGATTGGCGCTGGATGTTGCTGCTGTTGTGGTTGTTGTTGGTTGGTTATTTTCATAACCTCGGTCTTGTCTATGTTCACCTGGAGTCCTGTCTTTGCTGCCTCTTCGACCAGTTTGTCGGTTTTTGCTTGTAAGTTTTCGATTTTTTGTGACATCAAACATATATACAGCTTATCATACACATTAGAATATTTCTTTGAGATTGCTCTCAATTTCACTAAGTCAGTCTTTTGAAATGTTGTTTTTAAAAGAAGTGGGGTTTTATCTCTACAGCTGATTAATTTTTCAAGTGGTTTGCATTAAATGTAGTGGAGAGCATTGAAATTCACAATGGGCATTTCACTCCGATTTACAGTTAGTCAATTGAATGTATCAGTGAGACTGAAGCCCAACGCTTAGCGTTTGAAATCCTAAATTGTATTCCCCAAGTTAGTAAGAGATTAAATCTATTCTTTTTAAAAATCAATATATCAATTATTATACCTTGAAATGTGTGAATTTTGCTATGCTAAGCGCAAAGATATCTAGATCATAGATGTTACGAGTTTCTTGGAATAATTTGAGCGCCTTTTCAGATTGAATCATCAAAAATTATTTGAAATAATCCCGGCGTGTTTAGGAAAAAACCCATATAAGATTTTCAAGTGTTGATTTGTAAGGGTTCAGTTTGTTTTTCGAATTTAACCGCGGATTAATTTCAGTTAAAGAACCATTGGTAGCCCGCATCGGAATCCTGGACAGCTGTTTCATCCAACTTTGAATGTGAGGATGGATTTCCTGCCGGTGACATCGATTGTAGTTCGCGCTAAAATCACGAATTGCTAGAAGTTAGAATTCATTGGTTCCCAGTGGTTGTATAGTATTCGAGCTTGCCTTGTAACCGAAAAGTCCTGGGTTCGAAACCGGTAGGTGCATGCTGCCAATGATTCCCAGGTTAGGATGAAACAGCTTTCCAATACTCCCTAGTGGTTTTCATTGGTTCTCTAGAGAAATGTAAGCTGTCATCACATAATTATAATGACCAATGTGAAATTGTCATATGTGCACTTTGTCTGTATGAGAGTGTGTGTGCATGTTGTTTCTTCTGTGAGAAACACGTCAAAACATGATAATATTTTACAGCAATCACAAGATGAGACTGAACAGTTTTGTATTTTCTCTTATCTTTCCTGCTTCATTAGAGTTTGCCATATAGGTGATAAGTCTATCCCTTCTCTCCTATTCATTGCATTCCACGTGGTTAAAATGTGCAAGGCTTCAGAGGTCAACTTTTCTTTATGTATTGAATGAAATCCTCTCCAAAGAATTTCGATAATGTCGAAATCAATCTAATGTCCGCTGTCTATCGCTTGCATTGCTAGAGCTGATCTACTATCTAGACGTTTTAATTCTACTTCATTTGTAGATGGACGTTTCGTGTGATGTCTATGTTCATTCACTCTGACCTTCATCTGTCTACTTTTCTCCCCTATATAGCAAGCTTCCCAATTCTGAACACTTTATCCCATAGACACAATTACTTTGTGACATTTTGGGAACCATGCCATATCTTTGGCAGTCACTCACCAAAGTTTTCTCTAGAGAATTAGAGGACTTGAAATAGACTTTAATATTAAATGGAGCATATAGTCTTTGAAGTCGTTCAGCTGTGTCCTTTCTAAATGGAATGTCTACCAATCATACCCAAGATCCTACATTTCCTCTCCCCTGGCTCTTTTCAAGGATATTAATATTTAGAAGCTTTTTCGGGTAACCATTTCTAATCAAAATCTATTTTATTTTGGAGATCTCATTCTCCATATCATCATTATCCGTTATAGTGTTTCTAACTTTGTTTTGCGAGACTTGAAGCTAATTAAACTTTCATTCTTATTGGGTGACTCAAACATTCCTTTGAATGTGTCAGTTCCCTGTATATTGTAAACTTTTGTTTCTTGTCAATCTGCCTTCTTACAAGACAAACCAGGAAATTTAGGTTTCCCTCGGACGATTCTACTTCATTCGTAAACTTTGTATATTTAGATATTAAGTTAATCTGTGTTAAAAAGTTTTCTTTTGCAGTTCTCTTAACAATGATAAATGTATCATCTACCCATCTGTACCATATTCTAGGATTAAAACTAAAGCCTGTCAGTTCTTAGCTTTCTAAACCATTCTTATACAGATTTGCTACAGTTGGAGATTCTTTTGATCCCAAGTGGAGTTGCAAAATATTGGGATTATTTTGAGTCATTTATAGTGATTTGCTTTGTCATTTTGAAAAGTCTGAACCAAGAAGTCATGCATTAATGATAATATTTGTGTGAAATTGACGGTAACTGATAGGGATTTTTTCATATCCTCCAAGAATCCACACTCTGTGAAATATTCCTCATCTCAAATTGAAATTTGCAACGAACCA